CTATCAAGACTTTTTTATTTAGAATATTAATATAATATTATTAAAATATTCTTAAAAATACATTTATAAAAAATAAAATTTATTATAAGATTAACAAAATATTATCACCTAAACATGTTTTATCTTTAAAATAAAATTGTAATATTAAGAAAAAATGTATACTAATAAATACTTGCAAAATATTTCAAATAATGTTGTAATATTGATCAAATATTAATACTAATAAATATGAATGGAATAATCTTTTTTTCCCGTTAAAATAATACTATTGTTCAATTTCCAAGGAATGCATTAATGGTAAAATGTATAACTTGAATGGATTTTAAGTCTCTTTGGATAAAAGTGTCTGCCAAAGGCATAAATGTAAGTATAAATATGTACTGATGAATCATTCAAAAAAAGACCAGAAACCAGAATTGAGTAAATAGTCAGTGAGTGCTGATTTCTGTTGTGTATTCTCATTCCTCTGGTGTTGTTTCTGTGAGTGTGTGTAAGTGTGATGCAGCAGCAGCTACCCCTACTGAACACACAGAAACCTCTCTCACACTTACAGTTTTGTTCTTGCAATTCAACATGTCACACATACATTCACTCTCTCTCTCTCTCTCTCTCTCTCTCTCACACTCTCACACACACACACACACACACACACACACACACACAGGTTTGTTTTTGTGAAAAGTGGGGACATCCCATATGCTTAATGGTTTTTATACTGTACAGACCGTATATACTATTGCCCTACACCAACCCTACCCCTACTTGCATCTCTAAGAGAATTTTTATCTTGTGTTGAAATGATGGAAAAAATTAAGATAATTCAATTCAGTCTTCATTTACCTAGTGCTCTTTACCGTGCAATGAATGTGATGGAGATGTTTAGCATAAAATGTTTCAAGTGCAAGGTGATTAATACAACCAAGCTCCAAAAAAAAGGGGGGGAAAGAAAAAAAATAAATAATTAGTCTTAATTTACTTAATGTCCTTTACCTTGTAATGAACGTAATGGAGATAAATAAATATAATAAATAATGTAAAAAATAAATATTTGCATATATATGTATGTGTGTGTGCATATATAAATGTTTAGCTTGCATACAATAAAAATTAAAGGTGATTTATACAACCAAGCTCCAAAAAAGCATCAAATGCATCATAAAAAGGGTTATGATTAACTTTCATATCATAAAAATATAATTCAAATATAAAAATATATACATTTTGAAGATGAAACTTGCCTGCTATGCATTTACAGGAAAATATTTTGTGTTAAAAGGAAACAAAAAAAATAAGTTAATAAAAATTCAGTCTTTTATTCAATGCTCTTTTCCTTAAAATTAAAGTAATGGAGATAAATAAATATAACATTTGCATAGTTTCGAGATGTTTAGCGCCCCTGTGATTCTGTCTGCCGATCGTTGACCTACGCTAGCCCTAGGATTATTCTTGTGTTTTGCCCGCCACATACCTGTTTGCCATTGTTCGACCCTGCCTGTTATGACCACGTCTCTGAAATAAAAGCTTGCAGATGGATCCACACGTCTCACGTCTCGTCAGCCCCGTTACAGATACAATTAATGTTTCCATACAATAAAAGTGTACGGTAATTTATACAACCGATCTCCAAAAAAAGCATAAAAATGCATCATAAAAAGGTAAATAATATATAAAAATATTACTATTATCTATATCAATTTTGAGGATAAAACTTGACCGGTCTGCATCTCTAGGGGAATATTTTATGTTAAAAGGCTAGGAAAAATTAAGTAAATAAAATGTTGTCTTCATTTACATAATGCTCTTTAGCATGCAACATAAGAAATGGAGATAAATTATATACATATATTTTAAATGTATACACACACGCATATATTTACTATTATATGTATATTAAAAATATATATATTTTTTTTTTTAAAAAGACAAAAAATCCCTCTAAACTCCATAACATAAGTCCATATGCCTCTATGCACTATATTTCAAGGCCGCTGAAGCCATTTGATTCAGTTTAGCTCACCATTCACTTTACACTTTTCTACACTCACTCAAATGTTGCGTGTTGTGATTTTGTACCAGGACTGAGATCAGTGACATCAAAAGTGCTTCTCACAGGTCTTGCTATTGACATTGCAGCATTTTTGAATGCATGCAAATGTGAAGGAAATTTCACTAGAATTGAAGGTATTCAATGTTTTGAGCACACAATGGCTTGAAATACAGTGCATGAGTTGTTGAAACCACTTGTCACTGACAACGCACTGTGTTTGAATGCATGCAAATGTGAATGTGAATTAAATATTTTGGGGTATTTTGGGCACATTATGTGATTTAAAAAATGTGATATATATATATATATTTTTACTTTATGACTTTTACTGGAAAAATTAAGTAAATAAAATGTTGTCTTCATTTACATAATGCTCTTTAGCATGCAACATAAGAAATGGAGATAAATTATATACATATATTTTAAATGTATACACACACACATATATTTACTATTATATGGATGTATAAATACTATATATATATATACACATTTAAGAAAATAAGAGAAATTAAATAAAAATGACAAATGCATACAACAACATTTCAAAACTAAACATTTAAATGAAAACAAAAAAATAAAGCTAAAAACAATTCAAAATATGACAAAATATTTTATTAAATTTTTTTATTATTTATTATTATTTTATAAAATTTTTCAAAACTAAACATTTAAATGAAAACAAAAAAATAAAGCTAAAAACAATTCAAAATATTACAAAATATTTTATTAAAAAGTTTTATAATTATTTATTATTATTTTATAAAATCGTATTGCATTTTTATTTTGTATAATAAATTGTATTTTTACTTCATGACATAAAATTGCATTTTATGCTTTTTGGAGTTTGACAGTATACGTCATTCACTTTTATTGTATGGAAGCATTTATTGCATGCTAAACATCTCAAAAAGCATGCAAAAATTAAGAATTTAATTTCAAATCCACAGTAGAAACTATCACATGGTTAAAACATAGTGCATGAGTTATATGCTTTTTTGAGCTTGACTTATTTTTAGTATCATTTAGATACTAGTTGAAGTAATTTTATTGTCCGTTTTTGTAATTTTTATTAGTTATTGCTTTTTTAAAACACGTTTATATAGTTTTTAATTATATTTATTTCAGTAAAATTAAACTTAAATGTATCTAAATTAGCAACGAAATAATTATTTTATATTTTATTGTAATTAACATTTATTTTATTTTATTTCAAGCAACAAATTTTTTTTTATGGTTTTGGTTTTTGTTGAGATTGAGAGTATAACCATACAGGCTTGGAACAACATGAGGCTGAGTAAAGGATGACAGAAAGAGCATTTCTGGGTGAACTATCCCTTTAAATACGACTTTAGCTATGGACACGATCTCTAGAGAGCATGTCAGAAGATGAGAAAGCTGAAGATAATTACACCAGCCTATTAGAAACCCGTCACTGATTCGGGAACCACTATAAACGCACTGACTACTGATAATGGACCTCCGGTTCTCCTGCAGTCAACACACACAGACCCCAGAAACACAAAACCCACA